ATGTCAGTGAAGCCCTCCTCCAGGCCATGTCTCGCGACTCCTACCCCTCAGCTTCTGTTCCCTGGTACTAAATCCCCACTGCATCTCAGCATCTTCCTGGGCCTAAAATGGGCGTGGTGTCTCCAAGAGACACTGTCTACCCCTATATCTCTGGAGTTCAAGACTGAGCCCTCTCGCCCTAACCGGTTTGGCTCAGTGGATAGAGCGTCGGCCTGCGGACTCAAGGGTCCCAGGTTCGATTCCGGTCAAGGGCATGTACCTTGGTTGTGGACACAGCCCTGGTGGGGAGTGTGCAGGGGGCAGCTGATCAATGTTGCTCTCTCATCGATGTTTCTAACTGACTGCATCTCAGCACCTTCCTGGGCCTAAAATGGGCGTGGTGTCCCCAAGAGACACTGTCTACCCCTATTATCTCTGGAGTTCAAGACTGAGCCCTCTCATGTTCTTTACCCTGCACATGGCCCCTGACAAGTAGGTTAGTCACACAAGAGGACTGAATTAAACGCTCTGAGTTTAACTGGCTAATTGGTCCAGTGATAAACAGACTCCATCTCCTTATGTGGAAGGAAGCCCAGAGCTTTGGGTAAGCTGGAAGGTCTTTGCCAATAACTCAGTCACCTTTCCAGCCTCAGACTGCTCTTAACCAGTGATGTGATGATAAACAAAACCAGTGCTCTGGGGCTGGTGGTGAGGAATAAAAAGAGGACTGAATTAAATGCTCTGAGTTTAACTGTCTAATTGGTCCAGTGATAAGCAGACTCCATCTCCTTGTGTGTAAGGAAGCCCAGATCTTTGGGTAAGCTGGAAGGTCTTTGGCAATAACTCAGTCACCTTTCCAGCCTCAGACTGCTCTGAACCAGCGAAGTGATGATAAACAAACACTGAACAAAACCAGTGCTCTGGGGCTGGTGGTGAGGAATAACCCTGATGTGTCATGTGTGCTGGTTACATGATGTGGCCACCCCACCATGACCGATTTCAAGCCACCAATGTGATGTCACGGACCACAGAGTTGGGGAGAGATGCACAGGAGCACTGTTATTTATCATCATATTATATAGTAAATACCATGTACTACAGCTCGTAAAATTCCTGAAAATTTAGTAACCAGCTCTGTGAGCTAAGCATTGGCCCTCCTAGGAGAAATGAGCTGCCCTGTCCTTTAGAAGAGCAGCTCCCAGTCTGAGGGGAGGACCTCTTCCCTGGTAACCTTGGTGTGCACCGTGGGTGGATGAGAGTGCATGATTGTTCTGGTCGGTCTCTTGTGGCCACAAAACCTGAAGCAAATGAGGAGTCTTCTCTCCAGTCATGCTTATGGGTGTAAACATCCAACTTTATAGGACAGGAAGCCAATCGCAGAGTGGGGTGGAGAGAGGACCAGACGAGGACCTGGTCACCCAGGTTCTAGTTCCCAGACTCTCTGGTTTTCCTAGCCCTGGATCTTGGGCCCATTGCTAGCTTCTTGAACCCTGCTTTCCTCAGCTGTCCAGTGGGGTAACTTACCACCTGTGCTGCCCATTATCTGAGGCTCTGGTGAAGATGAAAAGCAGAAAGGGCTGTGTGAGTAGGAGAGTTCCACACCAACCGGAGTTACAGAAGATAAGAAGTCAGGCTGTGGAGGCAAGTTCGGTGTCGTCATTTACAGACCAAATGACCATGGGCAACTTACTTGAACTGCTAAAACCTCAGTTTTCTCATCTGTAACCTGGGTGACTGAGGTGTATCACCCTCAGAGTGTCGGTACCTCAATAAACACTGGCTTTGTCATTGCCTATATCCAGATCCACAAAGTAAGTCCTTCCCTAAGGGTTTTATACAAACCTCCCAAAGGCCACCGGCTTGGTCAGAAGGAGGAACAGGTGTGTCCAGATGGTCCATCGAAGGACAGGACCTCCGGGACCTTCCTCTGGCAGCGGGGGAGTGGGTGGAGAGCCCAGGGACAGACTTTTCATGGCTCCCGCACTGAAGGTGGTTTCTAACTTTTTCCAGGGCTGGTTTCTTGAGACTTCTTGGTGAGATGTGCAGTGGAAGGCTAAACTGTGGTGAGGAGCTGGCTTGTACAAAGTGACGAGTAACTTCAGCTCAAACATCCTTTTCTCCCCCTCACAAGCCACCCAAAGCTCTTTACCTCCTCAGAGGAAGACCAGAACACTCTTGCAAGAAAAAGCCACAAAGACCCAGAGCTCTAACTCCTGACAATTTTACGTTTCCAAGAGGTTACACCTCCCTGTGGAAGTGGACGGTGATCTGCGGCAGGCACCTCCGCTGTCTCAGGCAGGAGGCCATTGAGCGCTGAGGGGCTCTGCTAGGCGAAGCCTGGCTGGGCGTGGGGGCCTCTGAGGGCTTATGATAAGGCAACGGGGAGGAGAAAAAGGGACAAAGTAGCCTTTGGGGATCTGGTGTCTGGTTCACCTTTCACCATGCTACTCCCCTGTTCAGTGCATCTTTGAAAAGACGAGTTCTTCACGTGACACCAACATACAACTGTCGCACTGACTAGTGGACTGCCTGAGCTTTGGAGTCAACCGATGTGGGTTCAGATCCTGACTACCACTTATTAGCTGTGTGATCTTGGACAAGTGAATCAACAACTCTGAATCCCATTAATCAAGCAGGAATAATTACAGTCCATACCTCAAAGGGCTGTTTTGAGGCTGAAATTTAAACACGTAGGTAAGATGCTTACACAAGACCCAGCATTGTGTAAAGTCAACAAACGAAACAATGGACAAGTTAAATTATTTTCATTACCAGCTTATCTCTCCAGCTTCATCTCCTGTCACTTCCCAGAATGCAATTATCTAGAAAGATTAAATTGCTCCTAGCTTTTTTAAAAAAAAAAATACACTTAGACCTACTCTGGTTTTATTGATTTCAGAGAGAAAGGGAGAGGGAGAGACAGAAACATCAATGATGAGAGAATCATTGATCAGCTGCCTCTTGAATGCACCCTACTGGGGATTGAGCCCGCAACCCAGGCATGTGCCCTTGACTGGAATTGAACCTGGGACCCTTTAGTCTGCAGGCCGACACTCTATCCACTGAGCCAAACCAGCTAGGGCTGCTCCCAGCTTTAGACATGACACCCACACTCTCCTGTTTTAGACCTACTATGGGGTTTTTTTTTTGTACTTTTCAGCACCTGGCACATAGTGGGCACTCAATAATCTACAGACTGAACATTTGCCTGGAATTCCCTTTACACCTTTCTTCACCTGGCAAGCTCAGTTCAGGTCTGTTCCAGGAAGGCTGTCCTGAAGCCCCAGGTGGGCACATGCTCTTCCAGTGTCCTGTGCACCACATGCTTCATGGTACGTTCCATGTGCTACTAAAACTGTTTACATGCCTTTCTTCCTCTCTAGACCATTAGGTCTTCTAAAAATATAGGTCTAGAGCATTCCCAGTGTCTAGCACATGGTAGGTGCTCGATAAATGCTCAACTCTTAACCCACTTCCCACTCCTTCTCCTGAGTGAAGCCATTTTTGCCCTCCCCCTAAAACAGAGGCAACTGGAGAATGGGGAATTTCCTGAAATTCGAGTTCATCAAAGCTACTCTGGTTTGTGCTCTAGGGCATTGGTACTGTCTCCACTTGAACTTGGTCACCTGGGGGAGGAACTCAGTGACCCAGGCGTCTGGTGTGCAGTGATAGGGGCAGGCTGCAGACCTGGGCAACAAGGGTATGCACGCCTCTGGCACACAACCTCTGAGTTGTACGTTTGTTTTTCTGCCACTCAGACATCCGATTAAAGACAGGAATGATGTACTCCCCACGTCTTCCCTGTGGTTTTAGAGCACGGCTGTCTCCAGATGCTATCGTGGCTCCCCTGGGATTACTTGGAGGAGACCAACAGTTTAGAAAGAAGTAGGCAGCCACCATCCCACTTGAGTCACTGAAGGGCCAGGGCAGTGTCTTCTAGCTGAGGGTCAAAGATGGCGGCAGGGACATGTCTGGCTGACACTGGGCTCTTAGAAACAATAGTGCTGACTGCCGGGTAAACTCCAAGGCTAGGGAACAGAATGCTCTCTGCTCTCTGTCAGAACCCCCACTAGTGACTGCTCCACTTGGGGAAGCAGGAACCCCTTCAGGGAGGATTCCACATCACCTTGCTTTGCCCACCTGTAGGCTGCCCAAAAAGTCTTGCTGGGTTGGGCTGTTCCTTCCTTTTGAGCAAGGACTTAACATCTGACAAAGTTTAATAGGGCAGTCTTTAGAAAGTAGTAACCATGAGTCTTAGGAATAATCACTGTCCCAAGGTGACATGTTGGCACACCAGTGGTTCCCCAAAAGCTTAAGAATCAGTTCTGAGTTCCCTGCCTGGTATTCGAGACCTCAAACTACCTCCCACAACTCCTCGGGGGGTCTCTGAATCTGTACCACTCATTCATCTTAATCCACCTCATATTGTTAACAACTGTCACATGGGTGTGCTTTTGTCTTCCCAAGTATAATTTAATTTCCAGAGGGCATGGGCCCGACTTATGTACAGCTTTTGCATTCTCCTTAGCATCTGGCACAGTGCTGGGCAGCAAGTAGAAGAATCACTAAGACATATTTTGCATATTAAATTCCAAGGCCAAGCACCCATGCACATTTCTATCATAGCATTAAGAGGTTTCAGAGTACTTGTTTCCTTTTGAGGGTCATGTTTTAGCTTCGAGGTATCTAACAAAACCAGCTTCTGCTTTTTGGGGGTCTGATTTTAACCTGTTTGTGGAACTTTGCGAAGTATTCAAACATCAGACATATACCCTTGGCGGAAGAAGGGTTTCGGGGAAACTCCTCAGCATAAAGCGTGGCCTCAGCAGCAGCATTGCCCGGCTTGCTCTTGGCCCTGCAGTTTCTGCCTGGCCTAGGAGCCTGTCCTCAACTGTAGGGCGACTCTCTCAGCCTCTGTGTGGAGAAGGGAAAAGCGCTTGTGGTTAGGAATCTCGATGCATGACTCCCTGAAGTCTGAAGTAGAGGAAAAAGGAACAAAGTGTTTCAAGAAAAAAAGCGCATTGGGATTTTTGGGACTGATTTTATTTGGGCTTCTCACAGTGGTTAGAGCCACTCTGTCTTCAGAACAATCACAGCACAGGAAATGCGTCACCGAGACTGCCCAGAAAGGTCTGACCAGCTGAATCTTATTGCTTAAAATACACAAATTCACATAACTGACAAATGGTGATGTGCCGCACACAGGAATGTGTTAGCATTTGCAAATCTTCTGACTGTAGCACCAAACCCTCGACCAACCCCTTCCTTCTCATTCACCTGGAAAACCAGACCACCAAATCTCCCCGGCCCCTAACTAGTCCTTCAACTCCCCGTTTTCACCTCCCTTTGCATGCAGGGCAGCCTCCTGGAGCAGGGGCAGGCTGTGACTGCTGGAATCAAGCCCCGCTCCCGGGTTCCATTACCCCGACTCCTGCCTTTAGGGTGGGACGCTGCAGTGAACCTTAACACTCAGACCAGTTCCCCACTCTAATGGGGAAGGAAACATGAGAGGGCCAGAATTTATCCATTTGATCAGTGAACTGAAGGCGGACTCATTTTGGTAAAACTTGATGTCCTTGGAGACACTTCAGTGAGTTGTTCGGGATTTTTTTTTTTTTTAATGGTGGAAGGAAAGGCATCTGAGGGCTGCTGACGCACTCCCGCCCACTCTCGCTACGCACAGGCTTGCTGGCATGAGCTGGACCTCAGCAGAGGGAGGTAAGCCCTGTGGTGTCTGCCAAACCTCCTGGCAATTCTGGGCAGGGCTGACGTCTGGGCCACAGCTAGTCCAAGCTTGTCCCTGAAGATCCAATTAAGCCTTCGGTCTGGAGTTCCACCTTCACCTTCTGTGCCGAGTGGTTGTGAACACCCCCCAGGGGGCTGATACCGAGGGCCAGGAGCAGCCGAGGGAGGCAGACAGGTTCAGAGCATGTTTCCATTTACAGGGAACAGAACACAGGCCTCCGCATGTCCACGGAGCAATGTGCAAATTGCAGTGATGGGTAGAGGAAAACCTCTACTTTGAGGACAGTATCTCTGGCAAACACGGGACTGCCGTCGACAATGCTGCTGAATACACCCAAGTACACAGTCAGACAATTGTTCAGTAAACAGTAAATGCGTAAAATAAATTACCTTGAGAGGGCCATATCTGCTCCAAACATGTGGTAAATGGGAACAGAATGGCTGCCAGTCAAAGTATATTCACAGGAAAACAGGGCTGGGGGCTCACACACAACGAACACACACACACACAGGTTATCCAAAAAGTCATTGTATCCGGACTTCACTTTGTTCAACATAGATTTTGGTTTCGTGGACTTCAAACGCAGACACTCATTCACCTCACAGCCTTGGATTTGTCTATTTTTGTATATGTCTATACTTTTCCCTTTCTTATCATAAGGTCAATGCCTAGTCTAAATGTCATCGTTCAAGAGTGGGGGAAGAACCAGACTCTTCAAATGAACAGGGCAGGGCAGGGAATGTTAGTTTCGGCTGCATGCTTTCTCCATTCAGATTATTCCCATCAAAGCTCCACTGGTTATCTGAGGCCGAACTGCAGTAACAAGGATCCTGTGGTCCTTCTGGATGGCTTCTCCAGCTCCTCCACCCCCTCCCGGGGCCACTCAGACTCTTTACATTGGCTACGATTAGTTACCCGACTCACAAGGGGAGGGGGGCATGAAAACCACAGATAACCAAGGCAATTTCCCCCCAAGTGGTTAGTTAAAACAACAACAAACTTATTCAGAATCAAGAGAAAATACTGTGTGAGAACCGGCCTCTGGGGCTGCCCTTGCTCAGCACCACAGCCTCATTTGTTCAGAGAACAGTGAGACAGGTCCACAGCCTGTGTGCTTGGGTTGGGGGAGGGCCCTGGTCACCTGTGGGCAGAGACCAAAGGGCAGAGAGGCAGAAAGCTGCACCTCTATCCACCACTATAGCTCAGGGCTTCCTGTGCACCCATAGAAGGTCCAGAGATAGCCTTCACCCATGCCGCTACACAAAGCATCTCCTCTGGCTCTTTGAAGGCCGAAGTGAAGAGCCGCAAACTTCCCTTTTCCAGAACAGAATTCTTGCCTGCCCACTGGTAAAGCTCTTGTTTTCAGCTCGCTTTTGTTCTTTTTCTATTTAAAAAAAATGAAAAACAAAGAGAAGGCAGTATAATCTTCTCCACCTGCACCAGTCTGCGGCCAGCCAGAACGTGCTGGGCAGGGCCCCTCAAGGATGTAGTGATGCATTGATCTCGTCACCTGGAATTTGGGAATGCAACAAACCCTTACCTACCTACCACACAGCTGCCCACCAGCCCTCATCCTCCCACAGGATTGGCCCAAGTCCGGCTCTGCAGACACTGGCATCAAGGGATGACAACCCCTGGGTCTCCTCCACCCAGGGCTGAGACCTGCTGCCTCTCCCAACTGACACAGCAAGGTTCTCTTACACTAATACCAGAGCAAAAATCCATTCCATCACTAAGTCACCTCAGGGCACAGTCTCAGCTTCCTTCCTTGGGGACTTCTTAAACACACAGTACCTCCAACCAGGCAGGTAGTGAAATACGACTTGAAAAGGAAAAAAGGGAGATGGGTGGGGAATGAGGAATGAGTCACAGAACCAACTTCTCAGCCCTCCACAATACTGTGCTTCTATGGGGGGCGGGGCATCCACACCCCAAACTGTACCTGGAGATGTAGGAAAATGCAGAAACAAAGGAGGAAAAAAGAAAAAAAAAGACCAAGTGGCTGTACCACTTTCTTGGAAAGTCACTTAATGCTTCTCTCGTGGTTCTCCCCTGCCCTGGTTGCTTTGCCAAGTTCTCAGATACAGGCAGGGCCTGCTCTAGCTGGGGGAGCTGCTGCTCTGGGAGTTTGGGGAGTCCTGCTCATTGATGGTGTTCAGCAGCAGGCACGCCGGTGGCCGGGGCAGGTGGGGATGCCCAAGATCTCGGGCCTGCTCCTCGGAGGGCTGGCATAGCCCTTCCTCCTCGTCACCAGGGGGCCGCACGTGGCAGCTGTCGCAGAATTCCAGGGGTCCATCCAGAGCGTCGTCAATAAGTGTGCTGAACTCTTTGAGGTTGTCGTCGTGGTGGCCCCGGTTGCACACACACACCTCAATGCCCGAGTCACCCGTGAAGCGGCGATGTCTGCCAGGCGTCTTGTCCTTGCTGTCGGGGAGGGCGCTGCCCTGCTCGCAGCTGTAATCTTTCAGCAGCTCCTCCTTACATTCGGAATCCTTGTCCAGGAAGGCCCCAGGGGCCAGCTCCCCCAAGTCAGCCACAGAGCCGCTGGGCTCCACTCCAGGGGCTTTGGTGGCTGCTGGGTTGTCTGGCATGTCGATGGTGGAGGGCTCAGGGTCAGCGATGATGCTCGGGGGTCTTGTGCTGCTTCGGCTGGACCCTGACAAGGGGCTGCTCTGGGCCCCCTGGGAGCCCCTGGCGGGATCAGCACCTGGGGGGCTGCCGCCTGCAGGGCCACACTGTGCAGACAGCTGCTGCTGCTGTAGTTGGAAGGCACTGTATGGTGGGGGAGGAGTTGGAGGTCGGTTCACCACTTCCTCATAAGGAGGTAGTAAATAGTTTGGCAAAAACCCTAAAATGGGGAGGTAGGGAGGAGAAATTATTGCACTGGCAATTGTTCTAGGACAGAGACATTACACATATGTCTCTTCCCACCCCAGCATACCCACTGAGTGACAGCTACAGCTCTTGGTTGTGGGCAGGGCAGGGAGGGCTGTGGGAGTCACCTAATCCAGTGTCTTGAAACCTGAGAGCCCCTAAAGCTGCTTCATAGGCAAAGATTTCTGCCTGTATGGCCTGGAGTGAAGGCAGAGGGTTAGGAAAATGTGGTGGGTGGCCAAGAGATCATTTCTGTCTGGAATGGACCTGCTTCACATGCAAGCACGTCTCCTGTTTCACGGTCAGACTGTCCTCCATTTATGCCCCATAGGCCTTGGGGTCAGGGACCCTAACTTAGGACTCTGACCACTTTTTTCTTCCCCCACCCTTCCAGATGTATACCATGAAGAGGGCCTTATTCTGGGAGGTTGTAAATCTGTGTTGTCTCTCACTCTAGTGTGGCTGGAGGTGGTCTGGAAAGACAAACCAAACCTCATCCTGACTCAGATCAAGAGTGGGTGGCTTACCAGTGAAGGGTGAGGGCCTGTCATCCAAGACTTATTAAGAACATGCCAGGTGAGTTATCTTTTCACTGTGCTGAATGCTTCAAGGCACTGATGATCTGATTGTTATTGTTAGCATTTATGGAGCACTTACTATATGCCAGGCACTGTATTAAGCACTTAACCCTTCTACATGGAAATTCCACAGTTGTGATTACGTTTTTCTATAGAACGCACTGCAAAATGGCTTTGGACAAGCTGCACAGCCAGGCCTTCACCAACTGAGAGGTCATATGGATGGAACCCAGAGAAGTCAGGTGAATGCCCTTCAGTGAGTCACCGAGTTTCTTGATTCTCAGAAAGTCCAAATGTCACCTCCACACACACCTGCCCCTTTCATGGCAGCCTCTGCTCAGCATGATAGTAAATTAAATGGGAGGATTTCAGACCACTGAACTCTAAATCTCAATTCACTCACATCATACATCATCCAACTACCTGCCTAAAAAAAATCTGCCAAAGCAGCAGAGACCTGGTCAGAACCCAGACAGCGTAGATATGGAATGGCCCCGTGCACCCCCAGGAGTGGCTCCTCGGTATAAATGTGACTGCCCCCTTGTGCCTGTACTTTCAAAGCCTGCTCTGTGCTTGGCAAGGAGGCAAACCCCAAGGCCCATAGGAGCCTTGGCCACCAATACACACAGTCTGGGTGTCCTGGGCTCCTGAGGGTGGAGTTGGGGGGCTTTGGGGTACGTACTGAAATAAAATGGCAGCGCTGAGTAATTGTGGGCTTCCCGGTAGGCAATCAGGTTGATTTCATGTTGCCGCTGCTGGGCCTGAAGGCGGTGCTTGGCTCGGCGGTGGTGGCAGACACAGCAGCAGCTCAGGATGATGATGATGGTCCACACCAGCCAGAACCCTGGGGGTGGGGAAGCAAGACAGAGAGGCAGGGACATAGTGAACACCAGCCAGAGGGCAGCCTCAGAACAGGGAGGCTCCCAGCAATGCCCACCTGGTCAACACTGGAACTGTCAGGCCTCACTCAGGGAATTCACATTTAGAACCTGCATTCCATTTTCATAAATGTTTGTGCCGAAGTGAAAGACACACGGGATGGAAGAGGGCAGATTGTAAGAATGACAGTAAAGGAGGCCACTCAGTCTGGGCGCCTCCAGGGGCCTTGGGGGAAGGGCAGAGTGCCAAGGCAACTCTCCAGCCCCAATGGTCCTCCCATATTTTAGGTTTGAGGGCTCTCATATATGCTCCCCTTTTAGGACAGTGTACTCTTCCTCTGTTAAGAGATCTCTGAGAGCCCAGCCAGTGTGGCTCAGTGGTTGAGCATCAACCCATGAACCAGGAGGTCATGGTTCGATTCCTGGTCAGAGCACATGCCTGCGTTTCAGGCTCGATCCCCAGGGTGGGGTGTACGGAAAGCAGCTGATCGATGACTCTCTCTCATCATTGATGTTTCTGTCTCTCTCCCGGCCTCTCTCTGAAATCAATAAAAATGTATTTTTAAAAAAGAGATCTCTGAGAAAATGCTCCAGCTTCTTAGTGTCCATCTTCTCCCACGAGGACAGCTCCAGGCTCACTTTTGCTGCTGACATCAGGCTACTCACCAAAAGCAAAGAGCCTCTCAAAATCGCCACAACTCAGCTGGTTAGTAACTACAAAGGGGCCTCGGAGGGGCTGCCTGATAAAGCAATTCTTAGGGTTTTCCTGATATCATCAAAAGGATCTGGGGCTTTTCTCTACCATGTACCCTCCACAATGCAAGAATCCCTAAAGTTAGAAGTGGAAAATTCTAATTGCCTCAGGGCCATCTCTTCCCCAGGGAGTGCAAATGACTTCCTCAGCCCTTGATATAATCCGGTACAATTCCATCTCCTAGTCACACAAACACTCCACTCCCACCTCCTTTTGGCCTGCAGTTGCATTAGACTCGGGCCCATTAGCAGCCTCCCCTCCTTCCTCCCTGTTCCAGAGATGGGTAGAGGACCAGGGGAGAAGGCCCACAGCCCTCCTTTCTCCGGGTGCATTATTTCTTCTCATTTCCCACTGGTTCTTAGTTACTCTTCTCCAATTTTCAAATGTATACAAAAAAGCTTTCTAAATACTTTCTTTAATTAATGAGCAATTTTGTTTTAAAATATATATACACATGGGGGAACTGGAATGAAAAACACAAAAAAGTGACCTATCTTTAAGTAGTGAGTTATGACAAATTTTAATTTTCTTTCCCCAATTATTTTCTTCCTTCAAATTATAAAAATCAAAACTAAGTAAATTAAAACTTAATATATCTGTGACTAATTTTATTTTTGCAGGTTTTTATTTTAAAAATTAATATATTTCTGGGTGGATTTTCAAATTACTCTGGGAATATATTCATATAATGAAATGACAGGCGTCATTAAAAATTATTCATAGAGCCCTCGCTGGTTTGGCTCAGTGGATAGAGCGCTGGCCCGCGGACTGAAGGGTCCTGGATTCGATTCCAGTCAAGGGCATGTACCTTGGTTTCGGGCTCGATCCCCAACAGGGGGCGTGCAGGAGGCAACTGATTGATGTTTCTCTCTCATCGATGTTTCTAACTCTCTCCCTTCCTCTGTTTCTCTCTCGATGTTTCTAACTCTCTCCCTTCCTCTCTGTAAAAATCAATAAAATATATATTTAAAAAATTATTCATATATACTATTTTTAAATGATATTTCTAATATTAAATAAAAAAGCAGATTACAAAACAGTATAAAATATGATCCCAATTTTTGCTTTAAAAAAAAAGTGTATCTAAACATCTAGGAATGATCAGGAAGTTAATCCCAAGGTTATTCCTGGATAACAGGTCATATTTCTGGTACCAGCTCCTTCATTTTTTGCTAATCTACATTTCCTAATTTTTCTAAGGTGAATGTACTTCTTTGAAATTAAAAAATGTATCTGGCCCTAGCCGGTTTGCCACAGTGGATAAAGCATCGACCTGCGAACTGAAGGGTCCCGGGTTCAATTCCAGTCAAGGGCACATGCCTGGGTTGTGGGCTCAATCCCCAGTAGGGGGAGTGCAGGAGGCAGCCAATCAGTGATTCTCATCATTGATGTGTCCACCTCTCTCCCCTCTTCCTCTCTGAAATCAATAAAAGCATTTTTTAAAAAATTTATCTGAGGATCAATTTGCAGGTAAGATTGAGGTGTCCACCTTTCTCCCCCTCTTCCTCTCTGAAATCAATAAAAACATATTTTAAAAAATTTATCTGAGGATCAATTTGCAGGTAAGTTGTTATTAAATGAGAATAGATTATATTATTGTTCACTTATTGTCTATTCTGAATAACTTCAGATTTTTTTCCATTACAAATGCTACATCTAGTTTTTATCATCTGCTTTATAATTATAAATCTGTTTAGAAACTGTTAAGTATTTCCACATGTACTTCTTGCCAGAATGAGCTAACATCATGTTTTTTTGTATGCTTTTTTAAAGGCTTCCTTCTCCCTACAGACAGACCTATAAATGAAGAGAATCCTGTTTTTTTTCCGTTTGTACCAAAACACACTATTCTGAAAGATCCCACGGACATTTAAGGTGTGGCCTCTGGCAACAGCTCTTTCTGTTCCCCAGGGGTGTCCCCACTGAATCTCCCCACAAAGCCAGCCTTACAGGGTGAGATGGCAAGGCAGCACAGCTGCCGGGCTCTGGCAAGCTGTGTGGCACCTAACTGCTTGTGGTATGTGTTCAGTGGGACTTTCTGCAGAGCCCTGGCAACAGGACAGGTGGAGGGTGATGGGAAGAGGAATTTTTCCCCATTTCCCCATCAGCAGACAGAAAAACCTCATTCCCAACCAGAGAACATAAACTTAATTTGAAGTTAGAAGTCTTCCTCCCCTTCCCAGATTCACTATTGACATTTGCTTATTCAACTTACATTTCTCTCCTGTTGCTGGATGACTGAAGATTAGACAGACACTGCTAGCGGAGCCCAGAGGATGGTGCTGAGGCCAGAAAGGAGCTCTGGGAGAGAACTGGCTACCTGCTGCCATCCTGTAACATCTCCTCCGGGTCAATCTAGTTAGCTCTCACCCTCTCAGGTGGGACTGCATTGGAGAAAGGCTCCACAAATAAGCACAGTGCATTCTGCTGAAGAGCCTGACTCCAAATGTATTTAAAAGTCACAAAGATTCTGGGCTGAACACTCTTTTTTTAAAAAAAATAAATATATTCTTTTTAAAAATATATTTTTTTATTGATTTTTTACAGAGAGGAAGGGAGAGGGATAGAGAGTTAGAAACATTGATGAGAGAGAAACATCGATCAGCTGCCTCCTGCACACCCCCCACTGGGGATGTGCCCGCAACCAAGGTACATGCTCTGGACCGGAATCGAACCTGGGACCCTTCAGTCCTCAGGCCGACACTCTATCCACTGAGCCAAACTGGTTAGGGCTAAACACTCTTTTTATATTATCTATATTTCTCTTATTTTTCTGGCATATCCTTCATATTTCTGTGTTAGTTGATAATTTAGAAAATACATTCTTCCATTAGGTCAGGGGTGGGGAACCTTTTTTCTGCCAAGGACCATTTGGATATTTATAACATCATTCGTGGGCTATATAAAATTATCAACTTAAAAATTAACATGCTATATTCAATCAAACATTTAATTAACTCACTGGCAGGGCCAAACCAAATGGTTTCTTGGGCCCTATATGGCCCTGGGGCTGGACGTTCCCCACCCCTGCATTAGATAATCAACATTTAACTCTAATGTTTTTTTACTTCTTGAGTCATTTTTTTAGTTTCTTACCTGAAGGTAAACCAACTTTTAACTTTCATGCAGCAATATACATGATCTAAGGCAATAGTTCTCAGCTTTTAAACATGCTTAAAAAAACACACACACAAAACAAAAACAAGCTTTTAATAGGAAAAATCTCCTGCATCGGTTTTCACACTGGCCAAATATTTCTGGTTTTCCCTGCTCTAGGCATGTGGGTAGGTTGAACTTCTTAGCCACTTTTTGATTGGGTGAGGCATTGAGACTGGCTTTAACTAATGAATTGGGATTGGAAATGACACATCTTTTAGAGGCCAGGATACTTCTTGCTGATGTGAGACTCTCCGTGAGTTTTTCTTATGCCATGGCAATTGGCAACATTCCAGAGAGTGACTTTAGGGTCTGTCTGGTCCCAGAGGATGATGAAGTGGGAACAAAGCTCCCAACCAACCTGTGACATACACATACTACAGTGTGAGAAGTAAACCTGTTATTTTAACCCACTAGGGGTTTGGACTTGTTTGTTACTGCAGCATAACCTAGCCTGACTGATGCAATGAGTTTATAGGCTTTTCTGGTGAGAGAGAGTATTTAACCAGTTAACTGCCACGCGTCCAAAACAGAAACCATCCCCACTGCGTCTATAGACGTTTATGGTGTACAAAGGGTTAAAGGGTTCAGCAGATTTTCCCCCCATTGATTTTTAGAGAGAGTGAAAAGGAGGTGGAGAGACAGAGAGAGAGAGAGAAACATCAATGTGAGACAGACACATCGACTGGTTGCCTCCTGCATGTACCATGACCTAAGGATCGAGACTGCAACTGAAGTACATGCCCTTGACCGGAATCAAACCTGAGACCCTTCAGTCTATAGGCCGACACTCTATCCACTGAGCCAAACAAGCTAGGGCAGATTCATCAGATTCGTAAGCAGATCCTTGATCCAGAAAAAGGCTGAGATCCACTGAACTATAAGTATAATAGAAAAACAGGGCCTTTTTAAAAAAAAAAAAAAAAAGGAAAAATTAAGCAGGTCAAATGGGACTGGGGGAAGAAAAGGACAACTGGATTACTGTGTGAATTAAAACTATGGGAAAACTAAAGTTGGGAGCAGAATGGGCCTAGTGGTACATATGATGACATAGTA